GGGGAGGCTGCTGAGGGAAGGGGGATAAAGGGCGGGCGGGTGTGGGGTAAGAAAGGGTCGGAGGGGGAAAGGGGGAGCTGCTTATGTTGGACCTTCCTTGGTGTAGTCTGTAAAGGAAATGCCAACGCAGCTCGGAGCCCTAAACTTGAAACTCCCTCCACACGCTGAGGGATTAGCCTGCAATTAGTGTATCACAGGTAGCACGGCCCCGGTACCCTTCACGGCAGCGGGAGATAAAAGGGTAAACTGAAGTCGGGAAGAAATGCTCGATCTGTTGTTGCCTGTCCGTGGATGTCTGCGTGGGCCGCTACGTGCTGCGGCCTCCTGCCACGATGTTGTTCTACTGGGTATTTACTGAGCATCCTGGCAGGGGCAGACGTGTGGTAGAGAAAGCTACGGTGAGGCCACTGCTCTGGCGCTCAGCGTGAATGTACGCACAGTCCTGCATCAGGCATCACGGGATAGTTCTGTTCTATCTGTGACAATTGACAGTACAGGGAGGTAAGATGTAAATATGTTTTACAGATGTGACCTTTTTCACGTGGCATGCGTAAAGACTTGCTTGTTTCTCTCGTTTTCAGTCTTCCAGCCTTCATTTATCCGTATGTCAGGGCCCAGAGTCAATTCGTTATTTCTTGGAAATTCTTCAGGAGTCAGTTTTTCTATCTTTTTAAGTCCCAGAGATGAAGAGACAGGTAAGAACACTCCTCCCCCTTCTCTCCAGCAGTATGTAAATAAATGCTGGAGTTATTAATATTTCTTGACACTAAAATTACTGGAGAAATGCACTTCTTTTGGTGCTTTGAGAGTTACTGAAATAGGAACTCCAAAGGACCTCGGCTGATTAAGCCCTTACTCCTCTGTTGACTCCATGTCAGCTGGGCCTGAGAACGTGCCATCCTGAAGGCACAAAAGGAGTTTAAATGTACTTCTTATTCCCCAGTCTTTTCAAAATGACTGGAATACTTTTTAATTTGTATTTTGATACAGGAATATTGCAACTTGCAAATTGCAATGGAAGTGAAAGAGCTGGTGATTGGAATTTGAACGTAACACGTGGTGTGGTATGTAAAATATTGATTCTTGCCTAAAATGGGATGGATTGAACTCTCATATATTGAGGGTTAATGAAATACTAGCAAAATGTTAAAGTACTAACAACTCAGTTTGAATATCTTGCCTTTGTGTGGGTGCCCTTCCTGGAGTTTGCTGAGCTGCAGCTTTGACACTGATTTCTTCTTGTCCTCCCCCTCTCCAGAATTGCTTGTACCTCCTGGTTGCCTGTAGCATTTGAGACTGTTTCAGATCTGCTGGAAAGAGAAAATAGAAATAAAAAGTAGTACTTTTAACCAGCGTGTGAGCTCTGGAACATCTATAATCATTAGACTTGTCTTCAGTGTTACGTTGTACATCATTCCTTGGGGGTTTTATCAGCTCTGCAGTCACGCTAGTTCAGCTGAAGGTAGCTGTAAAAACTGAAACTCACTTTTCAGTATTTGTTCTTTTCTTTAGAACTGTGCATGTGATTTCTGAGGTAACAATCTCTGTGTGCCTTAGGAAGTTCTGTGCACAGTTCGTATCCTCTCTGTATTTGCTTATCTCAGTAGCAGACCCTTTGTCATTCTGCTCTTAACAAATATCCAATCTTATCTAGGAAGCACATCATTGCATTGTAGCACTGACAAAACACAGTGATACTAAGACTTCTCTTTCAGAAGCTGATGAGTGGTCTAAAGAAGAGTAATTTAATACAAGCCATCAAAGCTGTCAAAACTTTATTTTGCATTTTTTCCAGAACATTTCCAAACTGACTATAAGCTTGACTAGAAATCTGCAGATGTGTTTGCCAAATGCCACTGACTGCTGCACGACACCTCTTTGTGTGGTGGAGACTCTCCAGGTTGTAGCTTGCCGTGATTCGGTGGTGTTGGCGCATCTCCTGGTTCAAGCTGAAATATATGCCAACTCCTCCTTTACAGGAAACGTGTCAGGTGAGTGTTTAGATGTGCTAAAGAAGAAATGGCATTTTGGTGGTTCTTTTCCTCTAGATATGAAAAAAATATAATAATTGGGGTTTGGGCAGCAGTAAGAGATATTGAATAATCATTAAAGGAATTTAACAGAAGGTTTGTACCCAGAATAAATTGCAGTGCATGTGGTGTATTTATTTGGATTTCTGTCCATTTAATCTGATTTTTATCATCTTTGTTTTTTTTTTTTTTTTTAATTCTTTTACAGAAAATGCCACTATCATCCCAAACCAGGTGTTTCAGCCCTTGGGCTCTTGTCCTTGTGACTTGACAGCTGGAGCTTGTGATGTTCGTTGTTGCTGTGACCTGGTACTTATTTCATATGAAACCTTGATAAAGCATTTTCAAACTTTCTAGGCTCTTTTTATAGCCTGGGAGGAGAAAGAGGTTCTGAATAGGGTTCAGACTACATCGGGCTAGAGGGCTTGTTTGGCTATTCCAGTGTTTCTAACAGTAAATATGTCCTTTCTCTACAAAATTGTTTTGCTTTTCCTGTAAGTATGGCTATAGTGCCTATGGTAATGCAGTTACTGTGCTCAAGAGTCACCTTTCTTTTCCCTTTCAGGAGTGTACACCAGACTTGAAGCAGTTATTCAATGAATCATGTTTCACTGGAGTGTTTGGTGGGGATGTAAACCCACCTTTTGATCAGCTGTGCTCTTCTCAATCAATGGAATATATCCCTGATTGGTTTCCCTTCCTTTGTGTACAGTCTTCTCTTAACAATACACCATTTCTTGGCTACTTTTATCATGGCTCTATGTAAGTCTGAAGAAATTTATTTTCTCAACACAAGCATTAGGCATGCTACTGAAAATAGAAGCTGCTTTTATACTTTAAATTAGAATTTTAGGGTGTGAATTTTAAATGCAAATGGAGAAATGTCATTGGTACTGTGTGTAAACATGGGACATGAAAGCAAATGTATAATTATTGGTGTGAGGTAGAGGTTTAATTTTTAAACTTGCTTGCAGTTCTGCACCCAAAGTTCCTTCATTTAAGATCTCTTTACAACCTTCTCCTGGGAAACTTTTCACTGGTTACAGTCAAGGAGATCCAATTATGACAGAAGAAAATGAGTATTTTACGATTCCCCAGGTAATCACTTTGTGTTTATGAGCTTTTGATTTCTCTTGGTTTGTTTGATACTCTCTGTATATCACACTCCTTATGGCTTTGTAACCAGATTCTGCAGCGTGCTGTTGTGAAGTGGAGGAATATATTTTTTTAAAACCAAAAACGGTATAAAATCATTATTAAGAGTAAAAATTATCCTTCCTGATCTCCCAAAACCATAATGTCTTCATTATTTCAAGAGGTACAAGCAAGCTTGGCATCCCAATTAATAGTTTATGACTTATCATTTCACTAATGGTCTTCAAATTAAAAGCAAAAGGGTAGAACAATGTCCAACGTCCTTCTTTCTGTTGAACCACCTGCAGCAATCCATGGCTGGACAGTGTGTTGTAAATGCCCCTGTGGCATATCTGCAGGACTTTGATGTCAGATGCCTTACCAATCTAGCATCTTATGAGGAAGGACTGCCCCATGACGTGAGGATAAACAGTGGTACTGGAGGTATGCTGCATAAACCCAAACAGAAATGGGGCTTATGTTTCTCAGAGCTGCTGGAACAAAACCTGAGGGCTGTTGACATAGTAGCTACATCTCAGTTATCTGGTGGCTGTAATTCAGCATTTGGGGATGTTCTGTTCCTGTTTCTGGTGATTTTCTATTCCACCATTTCCAAAAATTTAGGATATAAGAAATAGGGGATTGGCTTTTGTTTCTCATTTATCTGTTTCTGGTGACTCATACTGGTTATGCCCCGAGGTGACAGAACAGCATCACTCCTATTTTCAGACTGTTGCAGAGCCCTTTTCCTGTCAAGAGGGTGCAGTATCATGATTTTAGAATTAGGAGAAGTGGCTACTTTCTGAATTACAAAAGCCTATACTTACAAAGTGAAATTCTGGAGTTTGAGATGATTACCAGCATGAAAAGAATGTATTTTACGTCATTGTCTAATTTCGTTCATCTCTCTCATCTTTCTAAGTCCCAGAGATAACTAACTATATTTAGCTATAACTAAATGCTCTCAAAATACAGAACTCCTTTGGTCTTTCACCAATATTAATTTTCTAAATAGTTTTCTGCTCAGTTGTCATAACAAGGATTCCACTTGGGATGTGAAAACAATGTGTCTGTCTCATTAGTCAGGAATGCTGCAGTGTTTGTTTTTCATTCTCAGACTTCATCCAACAAAACGTTGTCTATAGGAACATTACTGACACAGGCAGATTCATCACTGAAAGTGGTATGTCTCTTCCATATAATGAATATGTTTCTTACCTAACCTGGGCTATATAAGAAATAGATTATTTTGATGCCTAGAATGTTTACCTGCTGCAGTTCTTAGGAGGGATCTTGTGTGTTATTGAATACTCAAGAAGTAAACTGCTTGGCTTACAGCAAAGCAATGAATACTTAGTTTACCCCAACTTCATTTAAAGTTGGTTAAGATATCAAGTCCTTTAGCTTATATTAGAAGTAATTTTTGAGAAGAAAAAAGTCCAAACAAACAAAACCCCAAAGCTATAAAGAATGCTTTAAAAAAAATCCCCAAGAAGAACATGTAATTGGGGTGGGCAGCACAAGCAGATGGACTTGTGTCTGTCTTGTAACCTCTTGTGCCATTCAAAGGCCCTTTGTCAGCCAGTGAAGCAGTTACTTGATGTAGAACAGTGGCTCTCACTCAGTGGGAGGATAATGCAGCACAAATGAAACTAATGGAATCCAAGCTAATGCATTTTTCTGAGCAGGGATGGCTGCCTGGGAGGGATGAGATGAAAGCAGGGGCAGAGCAAAGAACTGCATCAGCTGGTGAAGTCCAGTCCAGTGCTGGGTTGATCTGGAGAGGTTTAGCTACACAAGGACCTGGAACCATTGATGTCAAAGCATTGAGAAGCTAAGAGATTGTACTGTTGCGCTGTCCTAGTAAGATGGGACTTTAACAGTGAAATAAATTCTCGAGAAGAGGAATGTTTTAATTCCCAGGATTTCCCAGAGCTTTTTAACATGTTCTTTTTAGCTCCAGGAACACAGCTTTCTAGTTAGCAGTGCTCTTCATTATGGCCTTTTCTTTTCTTCTGACAGAAAGTCTCCCTACTGCTGAGGTTCTGTGTCAAAATGTAACTTTTGCGGAGCACTATATGTTCATTTGGAAAGACAAGAACATAGAGCAAGTAAATGTCACAGTCTTCCTTGGAAGTTTATGTGATGGAGGTATCATGAAACTTCTCTTACAGTTTGTGATTTTTTTTTTCCCCTCAACATGGAAAATCTGTGATAGAATCTCTTATTTACTAATAATACTTACAAAGAACTTCCCCTGGACTCTGGAAAGAAAATTTATGGGGCTGATTTTCATTAATTCGTATTATTTTGAACCTTGTGTTACTAATGAAGGATGGACAATTGCACCCTACATAGAGCGTACTTTATGCCAATTTACAGCATATTTTTGCTAATTTACTTATTTAAAAGTCATACTTTTTTTCTTTCACCAGAAATACTGACCCAGAGATTCACCGTCCAATTTCTAAGTTTAGAGAGCACTAATACAACAGAACTGCCTGGGGATCCAGGTATTAATACTTTATTTTGCCTCTTAAAAGTAAAAAGAATTCATACTGTACAGATTATTATCAGTGACTGTGGTTTATATCTGGTTTATACTTTATGTTGCTAGCCCTGACCTTCCCGTCTCAATGCACTGCCGTTGTAATAACTGGGATTGGTTCTGAGGCTTTTGTTGTTTACTTAAAAATTATTTAAGTAATCAATTAATAATTTACTTAAT